TTGCAGGTTCGATCTCCGGCCCAAGTCGGGGCGCATGTGGGAGGCAACCAATTGACGTGTCTCTCTCACATCGATGTTTCTCCCCAGTTCCTCCTGCCATTCCACTCTCTAAAAATCAAGGGGGAAAATATCCTTGGGTGAGGATTAACAACAAAAAAGGTTCTAAAACTCTGAGAAGCAGGAGTTTAGGGACTGCCTCAGTGGGGAAAGAGACAAATTGCTCTTAGAAGTTAGAAATCAATTAGGGGCTTTTGAATGTGTTGGGTCCCTGATCTAGTATTTACAAGGCATCTACTTGGTGCCAGTGTTGAGGATATCACAGAGAACCAGAACTGGCCTCTGCCCTGAGTTTGCAGTCTCTTAGAGTTGTCCAGGGGCTCTCCTGGAGTCCTGGGTATGAACCCTGGAAAAATAAGGCATCTTGTTGTCCTCAGTCTCTCTCTTTTCTCCACTTTTAAACTTCACTATGGCCCTGTGAAGTGAGGCAGTATTTCCCCAAATTACAGATGGGGAGACGGGCTTTGATAGATGACGTGGCTAAGCTTGGGGTCCTACGGTTAGTAAATTTGCACTTGAACCCACTGAGGGGCTGGAGAAGCTGTGAGGAGGAGGTGTTTCTGATGGGAACAGCCTGGATGTGGTGTGTCTGGGACTGAGGGCAGGAGTGGCAGGCTGGTTGGAGTGGCGGGTCTATGGATAGAAACAGCTGGGATGGGTGAGGGCCCCAGGCTGCTTCAGTACCTGCTGCGGAGAGAAGGATGAGCACCTTGGGCATCCTTGGTGAGGGTTGTCGTCCTCCCTCCTGTCCTTTGGATTATGGCAGAAATCCTGGGTGGGTCTCTCACCTCTGATTGTATAGTTGTTGAGTGGCAGGTGTGTGAATGACTTCGGGACAGTGTGACATGAGAGTTGTCAGTGGCTAATTTGAGGCTGGAGCCCGACAGGGGTGTCCAAGGAGGATGGGGGTACTTACTGCCCTTGGACTGAGAGAGAGGGACAGGTACAGGACAGGATCTAGACTTTAAGAGTGTGCTCCCTGCCCTGAGCCTCTGGTTGGGATGCTGGTGGTGTTCCCGGGGGGCGTTCTGAAGGTACTCTGGTAGTGGGTGGGCCGCTCTGGTCTTGGCACCTGAGGCTGGTACCCAAACTGTTTCTTGGCAGGTGCTCTCCCTTATTCCTGAGGCAAGGCAGTCCCTGGGCATTTGGGGAGGGAGAGAAGTAAAAGATATTTGGTGTTAGTGGACCAGGCCACCTTTGTTGCCCACTTGGGGGCTCTGAAGTTGATGGGGAGGTGTGGAGGACTTTTACAGTTACTGTAAGTTGTGTTTACTTCTGCAGAACTCTGAAAGAAATGCAAAAATGCTTTAATGCATTTGTAGTATTAGCTGGTAATTCCAATTAGTCATCCTTTATTGGAGCCCCTGGTTGGCCATCACTCCAGCAATCAGAATCCCTGGTTAGGCAGCATTCCACCAATCAGAACTCCTGGTTGGGCAGCACCCCTGGTTAGTTGCATCTATGAAAGAAACTGGCATTTGGCCCTGGCCTGTGTGGCTGAGTTGGTTGAGCCTGGACCTGTGCACTGAGAGGTGGCTGGTTGATTCCCAGTCTGAGCACATACCTCGTTTGTGGGCTTGATCTCCAGCAGAGGGCGTGCAGGAGGCAGCCAATAGACGTTCCTCCCTCCCTCCCTCTCTTCCTCTCTCCCTCCTTCCCTCTAAAAGCAATAAATACATAAAAAAAAAAAAGAAAAATAAAAGTAGCCTGACAGCTTGGCTCAGTGGTTGAGCATCGACCTGTACACCAGGAGGTAACAGTTTGATTCCTGGTCAGGGTACATGCCTGGGTTGTGGGCTCCATCCCATGTGGGGCCTGCAGGAGGCAGCCAGCCGATCGATGATTCTCTCTCATCATGGATGTTTCTATCTCGCTCTCCCTTTTTGGGAATCAATAAAAATATATTTTAAAAAAGAAAAGAAAAATAAATGGTCAGTCGGTATTTCCAAGACCATTTAGGTGAGTGAATGGGAAAGTCTTGGTGGCAGCCCAGGTCCCCACCAGGAAGAAGTCTTTTCTGGGACTTAAGTCTGCACTGGCTTAACCAGCAGCCGGTTCCTGAGCCAGGAGGCTGGGCTGATGGATTTGGTGTTGAAGAGGACAGGATGGAACATCTGGAAGAGGCAGGCTGGCGGCTTTCAATGAGCAGGAGACAACATAGGCCCCTGCACACTGCCCCGCCCCGTGCCCTCTGGGAACTTCCACTTGAGAAATGTCCCTGGGAAGCCAAACCAGAAGACTGGTTTCTGCAGTCTTCTTTGGTCTCCTCAGTTTGTGGACGTCCTGAGGAGATGGGAGAGGCAGAGGGTTGGCTCCCCAGAGCTGAGATTTCATGGGCAGATGAGCTGGCTTGGGGGGCAGGAGTCAGAGGGTCTTGGGGTGCTGCCTCTTGCTGCCATACACAGGGCTCTGATAAACAATGGGCTATGTGTGAGCCATCGTAGAGGGTGCTGTCAGCTGGTGGGGAAGGAGAGTGTGAGCTTGGTGCCTGCTGCTCCCTGGTCTGGCTGCCTGACCCTGGGCATGTCCCTTCCCCGCACAGGACCCTGGACTCCTCATTGCAATAGGATGATGCAGCCACCTCGCTGGGTTTCTGTGAGAGTCGGAGGGAAATATGTAAAAAAGTTCGGTGAATGCTAATAGTGGACATGATGGCAGGGCATACCCGTGCTTGGTCCTTTCTACAGGAGTAACGGTCACCTGCCTGTTGGGGTGCGCTGCTCTGGGACAGGGCAGAGCCCGGTCCACTCCGTGGCGAGACCTCTGAGGGCTCATGGCAGGGTCCTGGGATCCAGGTTCCAGTCCCAGCCCCAACACTTGCTGAGCTAGATCTTTTCCAATCCTTTGTGTCGTCATCCCACACAGGAATTATGGGCCACACAACTCGGAGGAAGATTATGACAATTCAATGAGAAAATTCCGACAAAATGAGTCCTTAGCACATTATAGCAAAAACTTTAAAAAGACTTAAAAAACCACCCACACCTTATTACTCTGTTGCTAGGTCCTCCAGGTGAGCCTCCAGGTGGCTCAAGGGTGGACGTGGGGCTCCTGTTTGGCTCCTTATTACTTTGATCTGTTCTAGCCTTTGGGCATCACCAGGGGAAACCCAGGGACTGGGTGAGTGGGGTTCTTTCCTTCTGTCACTCCCGAGGGGGAGGATGATGTTGCCAGACCGAGTCACCCGGTGGTTTGGCTTCCTATGCATGTTTCTCTCCATCTTTTCTTGCCCCAAAGATTCCCGACTTTAATCCACCCGTCATAGGGCTTCTGGAAGGCACTGCCAGGCCCAGGAGCCTGGACTCCGTTCTAACCCACCTTCCCCCGAAGGTCAGGCACACCTCTGCATATCAGGTCTCTGACCTGCATCCACTCTGGCCACATGAGTCACCTCCACTGCAGGGCAGGGAAACTGGGAGAAGTGAGGTGCCCCCAGGTACCTGGCTGTCTGACTTTAAAACGGTGTTCCTCCCCTCTGTGGGCCCTAAGCCCCATCTATAAAGTGGGGGTCATGGACCCCCTTTACAGACTGACATTATGAGGCCTTGCCCTCTGTGGGAGGGGGCCCAGGGAGGCCCTGGGGGAACTGGTGGAGGAGAGGTCTTGTCTCGACCCTGAGCAGCAGCTGACGTAGAGCCCGCTCCTGGCTCATCCCCAGATGACGACCCTCTGTCGGGAAAGGCTGAGGCACAGGAAGGGGCAAGGACAAATCCAGGGTCCTGCAGGGAGCTGAGGTGGGACAGATGGGGTGGGCTGTGGGGCCAGGAAGGGCCTCAGCTGTCTCCAGCTGTTGAAGATGTGTTTCCTTCTTGATTTTCATGTAGATTCCTTTCTGCCTGGGGCTGGGCGTGGGGGCCTGGCATAGTAGGGGAGCTGAACCAGGCACCTCTTTGAGCCCAGGCTCCCCATCTGTGCGAACGGGCTGCCCAGAGTCCTTTCCCCATTACCTCAGACCCAAGGGTGTGAGCCCAGGCTTGGACCAGTCACCCCGGGGGAGGGGGGGCGCACATCAGGAAGAAACCAAGGCTGTGGCTTTGGGTGGGGCCAGTGGCCTCTTCTGGGAGCCTAGCATCTGGAAGCCATCAAGCCAGGGGCGGGGGGTGTTGCAGCAGCAGGCTGGGAAGGAGGAGGCCACACATAGGCCCACCCCTTGGGAGCAGTGGCTTTGGGCCCGCAGTCCCTGTTGTCGTCTCTGTCTACCATTGCCTCTCAGCCCACAGCCTCACTCCCTTCCACTGGCTGCCTTCTCTCTCAACCCACAGGCTGCTACTCCTACAAGATGCAATCGCATAATAGGCAATAACATTGCTCATTGCATGCTGGGAGCCTTGTTTCTCTGGCCCAGGGTGGTCTGCCTCTTGGAGTACGTGTGCATGGAGAACTGTCCCTAGGGGTGGTTGGCTTGGCATCCCTTCCCTGGAGTGAGTGCTGTCTTGTCTTTGAAGTCTCAATGCAGGGTAGCTGGGGGCTTGCATAGGAGCTTGTGGCTGGAGATGTGGCTGTGGGGACTCAAAGGGAGTAATGATGTCTTCTTCAGCCTCAAGCCTGTGACCCTGAAGGAGGTGGTCCAGGTGCATAGCAAGAAGCTCAGAGGAGCCCCAGGAGCAGGTGTCTCCAATCGTCACCTGGGTCCACCTGCCTCAGAATCACAGGGATTCTAGCTAGCCGTGTAGGCTTTGGGCCACTCAGACCTGTTGGCCAGACACTGGGGCTGGGACCTGGGGTATGCACAGCGACTTTGATACCCAGGTATCACAGAGCACGCTATTCCATCACCCTCCTGATCTGCTGGGGTGTAGGATTCAGGTTTGGCGTCCTTTGCAGAAATAGAAATGCAAGTTACACCCAGGGTCCTCTGGAGATGAACTGTTAAAGACAGGGGCCCTTTGGGGACAGGGCATGGAGGACACCTAGCCTGAGCATGTCCCTGCCTTCCCTGGCAGTCTTGCCAACATTCCACTGACCCCTGAGACTCAGCGGGACCAGGAGCGGCGGATTCGGAGGGAGATTGCCAACAGCAACGAGCGGAGGCGCATGCAGAGCATAAATGCAGGCTTCCAGTCCCTCAAGACCCTCATCCCCCACACAGATGGAGAGAAGCTCAGCAAGGTGGGCGAGGGCTGGGAGGGCTTCCTGGAGGAGGAGGTGGGCTCAAGCAGGGAGAAGGAAGTGAGCTTCAGTAGACGCAGCCAGCTGGGCCCCTGACTTGTCCCTCCTACCCTTAGGCAGCCATTCTCCAGCAGACGGCGGAGTACATCTTCTCCTTGGAGCAGGAGAAGACCAGGCTTCTGCAGCAGAACACACAGCTCAAGCGCTTCATCCAGGTAGCACCTGCAGAGGCCTCCCGTCACCTCAACACCTGTCCTCCTCCTGGCTCCCTCTCCCTGGCATGGGCATGTCTGGGCTCACCACTGGCCTGGGACTCTGAGGCTACAGGTCCCACCTTCCCCACTGACATGCCTACTTTAGGTACTTGCCTTCCTGCCTGAGCTTTAGTTTACCCATCCATGAAGTGGAGTTGAGTGGCTCTGAGAGGAACCGGGTGACTTTTGGCAAGCAGGTCCATTCTGCCTCTGTTTCCAGCCTGTGGCCATGGTTGGATTTGCAGAGTGGGGCTCCCAGTGCCCAGAGCACCTGGGTTGACAGCTTTGGGGGTCTGTGATGGAGCTCTCCAACTTCCCCATTGATGGTGGTGATACGAGGGTGTCAAGGCACACTCACCAACTCCTTGGGGTCCCCAGGAGCTGAGCGGCTCATCCCCCAAGCGGCGGCGGGCAGAGGACAAGGACGAGGGCATCGGCTCACCAGACATCTGGGAGGATGAAAAGGCGGAAGATCTACGGCGGGAGATGATTGAGCTGCGGCAGCAGCTGGACAAGGAGCGCTCGGTGCGCATGATGCTGGAGGAGCAGGTAAGGCAGGCAGGTGGGTGGGGTGGGGGTTTCCAGTCCCTCTCTCCCTTTCCCCCTGTCCCTGCTTCCCTGGAGCACCTGCTTTGTGTCAGGTTTAGGAATAGGGGGTGGGGGTCCACTGGGGATTGAACCAGGTAGGTACCTGCCCTCAGGGTCACCATCTGGGTTGGGTAGGAGGATTAGTCAAAGGACCTTACACTGTAAAAATGCAGCTGTGAAAAAGGTCCTGCAGGAAGCATGGGCATTGCGAGGGGATTTGGACTGCTTCTGCCCCACAGCTTCTCTGTCAAAGAGACTTGAGCCGAGGGTGGGAGGTTGGCCAGGGGTGGGTCCCGTCTCACAATTAACCAGGCAGAGAGGGGAGAAGGGTACTCCAGGCAGAAGGAAGAGCATGAGCAAAGCCCTGAGGCTGCAGGGAGGGAGTGAAGGAGTGAGGGAGATGGCATGAGGGAGGTCATGGCAGGAGAGATGAGTCAGAAAGGGCCTGGTGGGCTATGGTAGGACTTTGGTCTCCTCCAGGATGACAGGCTCCGGCTGGGGTTGGTAGCAGGAGAGAATGGCCTGTTTGGCAAGGGTAGAGCATGGGGTGGCTGGCCTCGGCAGCCCTGAGGGCCCGGCACTGGAGGTGGTGCAAGGGTGTGGTCCGGGCCCTGCCCTGAGCCTGCTCTCCCCTCAGGTTCGCTCGTTGGAGGCCCACATGTACCCTGAGAAGCTCAAGGTGATTGCACAGCAGGTGCAGCTGCAGCAGCAGCAAGAGCAGGTGCGACTGCTGCACCAGGAGAAGCTGGAGCGGGAGCAGCACCTGCGGACCCAGGTGGGCAGGTGGCCTCGCGCGGGGCTGTGGGCTCTGGCAGGGCAGGGCCTACATCAGTGATGGCGAACCTTTTGAGCTCGGCGTGTCAGCATTTTGAAAAACCGTAACTTAACTCTGGTGCCGTGTCACATATAGAAATTTTTTGATATTTGCAACCATAGTAAAACAAAGAGTTATATTTTTGATATTTATTTTAATTATTTAAATGCCATTTAACAAAGAAAAATCAACCAAAAAAATGAGCTTGCCTGTCACCTCTGACACACGTGTCATAGGTTTGCCATCACTGGCCTACATCGTAATAATGCAGACATTCTTGGTTCCCAGGTATCTTATAGACAGTATTACATGAATCCTTGTAGAAGCCCTTTGAGGCTGTTCTACTGATCAGGAAAGTGAGGCACAGAAAGGCTAAATAACTTGAACCGTGGCTGTCTAAATCCAAAATCTGTCTTCCTGACCACCATTGCATTAGATGTTGGAGTGCTTGCTTGGTGCTGGACAGTGAAGGGGCCACAAGTTCTTGGATGTCTGGGAGCCCCTCTTTAGGCTGCCTTTTCTTTGCTGCTTAAAATAAGGGCGGCCAAACTGGCTGGCCTCCTATCAGTGGTTGGCAGAGGCTGTCTCGAAGCAATGGGCAGAGGGAGATGGGTTTGGAGGGCATCCTACACCCTCTGTGACCTCCCGAAGGGAAGGGGGAGCTTCCTGAACCTTTGGAGAAAGACTGAGAGCCTCTGTCTCACAGCTCCTGCCCCCTCCGGCCCCCACCCACCACCCCACGGTGATCGTGCCGGCACCGCCACCCCCTCCCTCCCACCACATCAACGTCGTCACCATGGGCCCCTCCTCGGTCATCAACTCTGTTTCCACGTCCCGGCAAAATCTGGACACCATCGTGCAGGTACCTGGTCTCGGGAAGGAGGCAGCATGTCAGGGTTGTCCTCTGGGAATAGGCCCTTTGGGAGACATTAGAAAGCAGGAACTGAAGGGGAATGAGACAGGGCTTGTGTGGGGGAAGGCTGGGAAGCTGGGTGTGTGTGTCTCCATCCCCGAGTCTCCCTCTCTCTTTGCAGGGATTGGAGGGGGAACTCTGTGAAGGTGAGGGGTAGAGATGGGGGACAGGCTGCCCCGGAAAACCTTGTTCCTTCCCTCCACGTGGGGTTTGTTGAGAGGGTCTTTCGCTACCAGAGCTCCCGGCTTCCAGAATTCCTACATCCAGCTCTTGGTCCAGAACTTCCTTTCATCTCCATCTCCTAGGACCTGAGATGGGGATGGAGGTGGCAATGGCAGGGAGGGTGACAGTTAAGCCTCCTACAGAGGTGACAGCTCTGTGCGTCAGGTCCAAAGTCACTGCTGTGCGCAGCCTGGGGCAGAGACCCCTGGGGAGTCCAGTGGCATCATCTCTATATATAAAAGCCTAAGCGACTGTTCGACCGTTCGACCGTTCGACCGTTCGACCGGTAGCTATGATGTGCACTGACCACCAGGGGGCAGATGCTCAATGCACAGGCATGGAAACATGGAACAGACTGATGATCTCAGAGGGAAGGGTCGAGGAGGGAGGGTGGGAAGAGATTAACCAAAGATCTTACATACTAGAGGCCCAGTGCATGAAATCGTGCGTGGGTAGGGTCCCTAGCAGCTGCCGGCCACTGGCTGGGACCTCCCTTCCTCCGGCCGGGGCCTTCCTTTGTTCCATTCCGCCCCCTGGTGGTCAGTGCATGTCATAGCGAGTGATGGAACTCCTGGTTGGTCAAACTCCCAAGGGGACACTTTGCATATTAGGCTTTTATATATATAGACTAGAGGCCTGGTGCACGGATTCATGCACCGGTGGGGTCCCTCGGCCTGGCCTGCGGGGATCAGGCCGAAACCAGCAGTCTGACATCTCCCAAGGGGTCCCGGATTGTGAGAGGGTGCAGGCCAGGCCAAGGGACCTCAAGGGCCTCTAGTAAAAGAAATAAACAACTAGACCAAAAAAAGTCCATTAATCCCTGGACCTTTAGTTGCACATAATTCCAGCAAATTGAATAGTGAAATTAATAACAAAGACCTTTTATCAGTGAACAGGCCAACTTTGAAATATATAAATAAGTGAAAGATGCTGGTGACCTCCAAGCAGACCTGCACTGTCATCTCCAAGGGGTTTTTCAGCTCAGCAAAGGGGTTTACTAACTCTGACTCTGGCGGGCTGCCTGCTGCTCTGGCAGGCCACCTGCTGCTCTACCAGACTTATTTCTGGACCTTTCTGGTGTGCGTGTGTGTGTGCGTGTGTGTGTGTGAGGGGAGATAGTGGCTGGCTGTGTCCCTCCAGCCATCCTCACCACAGCCTGTCCCCCCAGGCGATCCAGCACATCGAGGGCACCCAGGAAAGGCAGGAGCAGGAGGAGGAGCAGCGGCGAGCTGTAATTGTGAAGCCAGTCCGGAGCTGCCCGGAGGCCCAGGCCTCTGACACTGCCTCCGATTCGGAGGCCTCGGACAGCGACACCATGGACCAGAGTCGGGAGGAGCCGGCTGGGCCTGGGGGGCTTCCCTGACCACCCCCCAGCCCTCCTCTCCCTTCTTGGGGTTAGAGGGGGCCGGGGCAGCAACAGGAATACACGCGGGCCAGCGAGTGAGGAATTTTTACAAAATTACAATGTCATTTGGGTCTCTTTTATGACCTCTTTTTCAATACTGTAAGTCAACCTTTGAGTGAAGGCCACCCAACCTGAGGTACTGGGGGCTGGGGTGGTGGGTGTTGTGGGAGCACCGGGACACCTGGGGCTGGGCCTCACCCGGGGGGGCTGGGGAAGCTGACACTTGAGGTGCCTGGCCTCTCTCTGCCAAAAAGCATTTTTTTTTTTTCATTAAACATGTTTTTAAGAACAGGGAAAATCAAAACCCCAACGTATTTCTGCCTTCCCCAGAGCCAGCTCTGTGACCGTTAGTTTCTAACTCCCCCTTCCCTCCTCTTTTTGGTTTTCTTCTTTCTCTAAGCACTTAATGGGTTGGGGGTCTGGCTGGGTCAGGACTCTCTGGGGGTCTGGGGTGGAAGTTGCTTCTCCGTTGGGGTTTGCTGCTGCCCTTTTGCCCTGCCCTTCCATCCCTGCCCCACCTCAGCACTAGGATTTGCCACTCTCCACCGCCAGCTGGCCTCCACCTCTCCCTCCAGGTTTCCCATTTTCAACCCCCAGAAATGTCTTTGTCTCTCTGTTCTGTTTGTTGGGTTTTTCTTTTATCCCCCCTTTGTTTGTTTTTTGTTTTTCTTTATTTTTTTGTTTTTTTTTTTATAACAATTTCAAGGTCTTTGTGTTCAAGGAGAGCTATTATATTTTGTTAAGAAAGTGTGTGTGGGGGGAACCAAGAGGCCACCATGCCTTTATAAAGAAAAAATAAAGTTTGTACTTTGTTTTTTAGATTGTGTCTCCTGGATGTGTGGTATCCTGTGTTGCTGGGGAAGGCTTACTGGACTAGATAGAGTATGGGATGCTACTTGGACCCACCAGAGGGGATTATATGTGTGTGTGGTATTGCAATGAGAAATCAGCATCCTTACATTCACTGGGATTACTCTGGGTATTCTGCAAAGATAGAGATGGTATTGGGGGATGGGAGGAGTGGCTCCCAATTCCTTGGTGGGGGAGCAAGGAGAGAATGAACAACCAAGCCACAGATTCCTATCTCTAGAGAAAGGACACAGGCTCAGGGTTCCTGGTTGATTTCTAGGCTTTATTACTTCTTCAACTTGTGTAACCTCCCTGAACCTCAGCCTCATCTACAGAAGGGAAAGACTCCCTTATGGTGTGTTTAAGAACTCAGGTCCTGGAGTGGGTCTGCAGTAGTCAGTTCTACTTTGGGCAAGCCATGTATATATATTAGAGGCCTGGTGCACAAAATTTGGGTGTGGGGTCCCCTCAGCCCGGCCTGTGCCCTCTTGCATTCCAGGAGCGTTCAGGGGATATCTGACTGATGGCTTAGGCTCGCTCCCGCCACTGCCGCTGTGCTCGCCAGCCATGAGCCCGGTTCAGGGCTTCTGGCTGAGCAGCGCTCCCCCTGTGGGAGCACACTGACCACCAGGGGGCAGCTCCTGCATTGAACGTCTGCCCCTTGGTGGTCAGTGCATGTCATAGTGACCGGTTGTTCCACTGTTTGGTTGATTTGCATACTAGCCTTTTTGGTATAGGATATACTAGAGACCTGGTGCACAGATTCATGCAACGGTGGTTTCCCTTAGCCTGGCCTGTGGCTCTCCGACATACCCAAAGGGGTCCCGGATTATGAGAGGGCGCAGGCCAGGCCGAGGGACCCTACCGGTGCACAATTGGGGCTGGGAAGGGACTGTGGGATGGCTCCAGGATGTGTCCAGCCCGTCTCACTGTCTCACCCAGTCCCAATTGGCTGGACCCAAGCAGCAAGGTAACCTACCAGTTGGAGTGTCTACTGTCAGGTGTGGTCAGTGCACATCACAGCTACTGGTCAAACAGTTGCTTAGGCTTATATATATACTAGAGGCCCGGTGCACAAAAATTTGTGCACTCGGGGGGAAGGGGGGTCCCTCAGCCCGGCCTGTGCCCTCTCGCAGTCTGGGACCCCTCGGGAGATAACGACCTGCTGGCTTAGGCCTGCTCCCGGGTGGCAGAGGGCAGGCCCAATCCCTAGGTGAAGCCCCTGGTCGGGCTCAGAGCAGGGCCGACTGGGGAGTTGAGGTGCCGCCCCTGTCATGCACAGAGCAGGGCGGATCGGGAGGTTGCGATGCCACCCTCAGTCATGCTCAAGGTAGGACTGATTGGGGGGTTGGGGCACCGCCCCCTTGTCACACTCAAGGAAGGGTCGATGGGGAGGTTGCGGCGCCACCCCGTCACGCACAGAGCAGGGCCAATCAGGGTTGGGGCGCTGCCCCTGTCACACACAGAGCAGGGCCAATCAGGGGGTTGGGGAGCTCCCCCTGTCACGCACAGAGTAGGGCAGATCAGGGGGTTGGGGTGCCGCACCCTGTCACACTCAGGGCAGGGCCGATGGGGAGGTTATGGCTCTACCCCATCACACACAGAGCAGGGCCCATGGGGGGCAGTTGGGGCGTCGCCCTCTATCACCCACAGAGCAGGGCCGATCATGGGGTTGGGCCGCCGCCACTCTCACATTCAGGGCAGGGCCGATGGGGAGGTTATGGCTCTACCCCATCACACACAGAGCAGGGCCCGTGGGGGTGGGGGTGGGGCGCTGCACCCTGTTACACACAGAGCAGGGCCGATCAGGGGGTTGGGGCACTGCACCCTGTCACACACAGAGCCGCAGGGCGATCAGGGGGTTGGGGAGCTCCCCTCTATCAGGCACAGAGCAGGGCCGATAGGGAGGTTGTGGCCCCGCCCCCTGTCACACAGAACTGCAGGGAGATCAGGGGGTTTGGGCGCTGCCCCCTGTCACGCTGATCCCGGTGCCAGGAGGCCTCGTGGCTCTGCTGATCCCGGTGCTGGAAGGCATATTACCCTTTTACTATATAGGATAGAGGCCTGGTGCACGTGTGGGGGTCGGCTGGTTTGCCCTGAAGGGTGTCCTGGATCAGGGTGGGGGTCCCCACTGGGGTGCCTGGCCAGCCTGGGTGAGGGGATGAGGGCTGTTTGCAGCTGGTCACACACCCTTCAGGGTGGGGGTCCCCACTGGGGTGCCTGGCCAGCCTGGGTGAGGGGATGATGGCTGTTTGCAGCTGGTCACACACCCTTCAGGGTGGGGGTCCCCACTGGGGTGCCTGGCCAGCCTGGGTGAGGGGATGATGTCTGTTTGCAGCTGGTCACACACCCTTCAGGGTGGGGGTCCCCACTGGGGTGCCTGGCCAGTCTGGGTGAGGGGCTGAGGGCTGTTTTCAGGCTGGCGGGTGACGGAAGCTCCCAACCGCTCCTTTTTTTCTTTTTCTTTTTTTATTCTGGGCCAGCTTTAGCTCTGAGGCTCCAGCTCTTAGGCCTCTGCTCTTGAAAGCAGGTATCTGGTTTGTTTTGGTTCTATAATCGAAACAATGTATACCTCCAGCTCTGAGATCCCGGCTTGCTGAAAGCAGGTTTCTGGGGTTTTGTTTAGCTTCTATATTTGTTACAATGTTTCAAACTGCAGGCTCAGAGGCCGGCAAGGCAGGCGGGGAACATTGGTTTCCTCCGTCACTGAAGCAAGGAAGCCTCATGTTAGTTTCAAGCTGCCTGGCTGCTGGCCGCCATCTTGGCTGGCAGTTAATTTGCATATCGCCCTGATTAGCCAATGGGAAGGGTAGTGGTCGTACGCTAATTACCATGTTTCTCTTTTATTAGATAGGATACACATACGTGTGTGTGTATGTGTGTATGTATGTGTATATATATACACACACACACACATATGTATCTATATCTATATCTATATCTATATCTATATCTATATCTATATCTATATCTATATCTATATCTATATATGCTATATAATAGGCAAATCGACCAAAGGGTGGAACAACTGGTCTCTATGACACACACTGACCACTAGGGGGCAGATGCTCAATGCAGGAGCTGCCCCCTGGTGGTCAGTGCACTCCCACAGGGGGATTGCTGCTCAGCCAGAAGTTGGGCTCATGGCTGGTGAGTGCAGTGGCGGTGGTGGGAGCCTCTCCTGCCTCCGCAGCAGCACTAAGGATGTCCAACTGCTGGCTTAGGCCTACTCCCACGCCTAAGCTGTCAGTCAGACATCCCCCGAGGGCTCCTGGACTGTGAGAGGGTACAGGCTGGGCTGAGGGACGCCCCTCCCAGTACATGAATTTTGTGCACCAGGCCTTTAGTATATATCTATGTCTACTATATACTATATATATCTATAAAGATTATTTATTTTTAGAGAGAGGAAGGGAGAGAGAGACAGAAACAATGAAAGATGTGTGAGCAAAACATCTGGGAATTGAACTGGTACCCTTTTGGTGCACAGACCAATGCTCAACCAACTGAGACACACTGGTGAGGGTGCCACTTATATTTGAGCTTCAGTTTCCTTTTTTGAAAGTTGGGAATAATAAAATAAATAATAAATAGGAATAATAATGGCACAAAGCAATGCATATTGGGGGTGGGGGTGGGGGTGGGAGTGGTCCTTTTAAGTCCTTAATCCTCTATGACCAGAGAGCATTTTACAATGTATTCTCCGCCTGCTTTTCCTGGTGCTCACACTGTGCCAGGTACATAGGGACTGAGGCCAGAGTGTAGTAACCAAGTCACTTCTCAGCCCACAATGAATGCCTCCAGACATGAACTTGTTGACTAGAAAGGCAGATGGGAGCCTGCATTTTTAAGAACTTTTATACATTTTAAAAATATATTTTATTGATTTTTCACAGAGAGGAAGGGAGAGAGATAGAGAGAGTTAGAAACATCGATGAGAGAGAAACATCGATCAGCTGCCTCTTGCACATCCCCCACCGGGGATGTGCCCGCAACCCAGGTACATGCCCTTGACCGGAATCGAACCCGGGACCTCTCAGTCCGCAGGCTGACGCTCTATCCACTGAGCCAAACCGGTTTCGGCAGAACTTTTATACATTTTAAAAGGTGGAATTCACAGTAAAATCAACCATTTTAAAGGGAATGATTCAGTGTGGCATTTAGTATTCACAATGTTGTGCAACCATTATCTCTAGTTCCAAAACATTCCCATCACTCCAAAATGAACCACTTACACTCCAAAACGAGCCACTTACTAATTAGTTTTCCCATTACTCTTCTCCCAGCCTCCACCAATCACCAATCTGCTTTCTATTTTCTTTAGTATTTGTAAAAATTAAGACTAATTTACATTCGGTAAAATTCACACTTTTCGTTCTTGGTTGTGAGTTTTGACAAATGCGAACAGTTGTATAAACACCACCACAATCACAATATAAAGTTCCCTCATCGCCAGTGTTCCCTCAGCTTCCTTTGTGGTCCACCCAGGTCCTGGGAACCATCCATCTATTCCTACAGGTTTGCCTTTTCCAAAATGTTGTAAATAGAATCATATAATATTTAGCCTTTTGAATCTGGATTCTTAACATTGCAACTAAATGTGGGGGTACATCTAACTAAATTTACACAAGTTGACTACGTGTCTGAAGAGAGGGACTTAGCTAGAATCTGGGCGGGGACGCCCCTTCCCAAGGCCAGTCCAGCGGCCCCAGGGGCTCTGTGCAGTTCCTAAGAGAGTCAACAGAGGGCGCTGCGGACCCGGAACACCTGGTTCCGTGGCTACAGGCCAGAGGTGGGGCTTAGGATGGGGCCAGGAAAGTCCTCCTCCCCGGACTCGCCTGGAGGCCGCAGGCGGTCTCACCAGCGGGCAGCGGAAGTCGGGGTACCGCCCCTGGCCCCGCCTCCTCGCCTCGCCCCGCTGGGCGCTTCGGTGCGCATGCTCTTTGGCACCCTGGCGGGCTAGCGCGCTGGTCGGCCCCGCCTCCGCACCCGCGGCGGACGGACGGCGCGCGCTCACGCACGCCCGGAGCCCAAGTGCCGCAGAAGTGCGGCTCCGGCGTGTCTTCCGCGCGGAGGCGCTCGCCGACTTCCTTCCGCAGCTGCCAGCCCACCCGGAAGATGTGCTGTGTAGCGCCGGCCGGTGGGGCCTGCGCTGTGGGACGGAAGTTCGGCGCACACGTGACTTACCACGGTTTTAGAGGCCGCGGAATAACGTGACAATTTCAGTAACTGTTAGGGTTGCCGAAAGGGGACTCCAGGAGGCCGAAGGTGGTAAAGAATTATAAATTTACTTCTAAGAACAGAAGGGCTGAGATCAAAATGACATCAACGGGGCAGAGCAGGGGAGCGGGATATCTATGTCTCTTGCAAAGGTCGGTCAGACTAACCGGTGGGTCCGGGTGCAGGTGGGGCCCAGGTGCAGGTGGGGCCCAGGTGCAGGTGGGGGCCCAGGTGCAGGTGGGGACCGGTGCAGGTGGGGCCCAGGTGCAGGTGGGGGCCCAGGTGCAGGTGGGGGCCGGTGCAGGTGGTCCATGGAAACTGGGAGAGGCGGTTTACTGGAAACTGAAGACCGTTAATCATGAAACAAATCTTTGGGAGCGGCAAGAGCCCCAAGTAGGGCATAATGGAGCGCAAGAAGGAGCCTAGTAGTAACATTCCTTTTAACCCACACTATCGGAAACATTGTCATATCAGTACAGGTGAGGAACGTAAGAAACTACGCACAAGGTGTGTCACAAGGTGTGTCGGAGTGCGTCTTGCCCAGGCCGCACCTGTCATGGGTCCAGGGTCAGGAGCCTGGTCCAGGTCAACGGCTGCACGTGGACTAGTGCAGGTCCAGCCCTGGGAGCAAGTGGTGGTGAGAAAGTGCAGCAGTGTCCTGTAGCAGTGCAGACACTGGCCTGGGAGGAGGAAGAATGGAGAAGATGTGGGAATGTTACCAAACTCAAGGGGTTTGCTGCTTGGGTTGCAATAGTCAAAAAGGAGATGTAGTTGTCACAAGGTAGTTTTACTTGCAGCAAGTAAAGGAGACAGGAGGTTCTGCCTTTGGTCAATTATATGTTGGGTTCTTTATACTTGGCTACTTTTAATTTTAAGTTTTTAAATATATTTTTGTTGATTTCAGAGAGGAAAGGAGAGAGAGAGAGAGAGAGAGAGAGAGAGAGAGAGAGAGAGAGAGAGAGAGAGAGAAACATCAGTGATGAGAGTGAACCATTGATTGGGTCCCTCCTGCATGCCTCACACTGGGGATTGAGCCCACAACCCAGGCATGTGCCCTGACCGGGAATTGAACTGGGACCTCCTGTTTCATAGGTTGATGCTCAATCAGAGCCACGTCAGCTGGGCTGTACTTGGCTACTTTATTTTTTATTTTTTAAAACATATTTTATTGATTTTTTACAGAGAGGAAGGGAGAGGGATAGAGAGTTAGAAACATCGATGAGAGAGAAACACCGATCAGCTGCCTTCTGCACACTCCTCACTAGGGATGTGCCTGCGACCAAGGTACATGCCCTTGACTGGAATCGAACCTGGGACCCTTCAGTCTCCAGGCCGACGCTCTATCCACTGAGCCAAACCGGTTAAGGCATGTACTTGGCTACTTTAAAAAAAATTATTAAGTAAATACTTTTATTGATTTCAGAGAGGAAGGGAGAGGGAGAGAGAGAGAAACATTAATGAATGATGAGAGGGAGTCAAGCATCAGCTGTCTCCTGCACGTTCCACACTGGAGATCGAGCCCACAACCTGGATATGTGCCCTGACCAGGAATTGAACCGTGACCTACTGGTTTATAGGTTGATGCTCAACCACTGAGCCATGCTGGCCAAGCTATACTTGGTTACTTTCATTCCTTGATTTCCTGTCAGCTCATCCAGTTTACAGCTGGATCTACAAAATACTGTGCTACATTTTAACATTTAGCAAGAAAAAACATTTAGAACTGCCCTGACCTTGAGACCCTTGTCCTATCTAACAGGAAGGGGATCAGAGAGGACTTCCAAGTCATACTAAGAAGCTTGGACTTTATTGTTTGTTAAAGGGAGGGGGGTCTACGAGAGACATGATCAACCCAATATTTAACAAAACCCCATTTTAAAAGCCTTTTTTTGAAATATCTACTGTATGAAGGACACTCAGAAGAGGGGGTGTAGTTTGTGTTTAGTCCTGTGAATTTTCACCAACTGAATACACAACCATGTAGCCAGTATCCCACCAAGCCCTCAAGTGGTTTTGCTACCGGAAAGGGGACCTGCCCTGGTGGGTCTGCCTAGGGCCGGCCGGTAATGTGTGGGTTCTTGGCTTCGTGCAGGAAAAACTTCACGAGTCCAGGAGACTATGAAAGTGCTGCGCACGGTAAAAGCTGGACACAGTAAAACAAGAAAGGGCTTAGCATAGAAGAAGCAACAGGAGAGCCGAGGCTGGGCTGCCCTAGCTCTCTGGGAAGTCAGAGAAAACGGGGCCTTGGGAACAGGTCCAGGGGTGAGCCTGAGATGAGTTGCTGCTACCTATTGCTCCCCTGCTTGTGAGTCTCAGTTGATTAACTGGCCTCAGACCAGCATGTAAAGCACATGCAAATCCTCCAGCTGCCTCTTAGAGCTGGCTGGCCACATGGTCCTTAGCCTTGTATTTTTGATGGCTCTGGCTTCCACCCTGTCCCACCCGAGTCCATCTCAGTGGCCCTTCTTCTTTTAAAAAAAAAAAAATATTTTATTGATTTTTCACAGAGAGGAAGGGAGAGGGATAGATAGTTAGAAACATCGATGAGAGAGAAACATCAATCAGCTGCCTCCTGCACACCCCCTACTAGGGATGTGCCTGCAACCAAGGTACATGCCCTTGACCGGAATCGAACCTGGGACTCTTGCGTTCGCAGGCCGATGCTCTATCCACTGAGCCAAACCAGTTAGGGCTCACTGCCCCTTCTTGATCCAGCTGCCCCTCTGTGCTTTCTTGGATGCTCGTGTCCCTGTGTCATTTGTCTTTTTCCTCTTTTTGTTGTTAATCTTCACTTGAGGCTATTTTTTTCCATTGATTTCTAGGGAGTGGAAGGGTGAGAGGAGGGATGGGAGAGAGAGAGAAACATCTATGTGAGAGAGACACAATGATTGGTTGCCTCCTGCATGCACTCCCTACTGGGGCTGGGGAAACTGAGGTATGTGCCCTTGACCAGGAATCAAACCCGCAAGCCTTCAGTCCACGGGCCGATGCTCTAACCACTGCGCAACCGGCCAGAGCCAGGAGGGTGTCTTTTTCATTTGAGTTCTGCATGCCCTCCTGTGCCCTAAAAGTCCTGGGCTGGGGTGGGGTTAGCACCAGCCCCTGCCTTGTTTCCCTCTCCTCTTCTGCCCTGCTGAGTTGCAAGTTTCTTCTGTTGATTGACAAGAGCGCCTGCTGCCTAGAGGAAGGCCTAGGACTGGGGGCTGCAGGCCAGGACCAGCCCTAAATCTCTGTACAAAGGAGTGAGTTCCCAAATCTGCGGTCCCCTCCACGCTCCTGGTGTTAAAGGAGCTAAGAGGAGGCACAAGTCACAGGTCTCCCCGGGTGTAGCCTGTCTCGGTGATCACCCTCAGAATCAAATGAAAGAGGAAAAGGAAAGTGATTTGAGAAGACTGTACGAGTACCAGAGATTAGTTTGTTGATACTTGTCTCTCTCACATTGCCTCTTGCCCTGTGAGAGATACAGATGATGCTCTGAAAATTCCGGTCGCAAAGAAGATGATGGGAATTTCATTTGCTTGTAGGTAGACGGAAATGTCAGTGGGTCTGGCCAGGCACTAGGAGTTAGTGGGGGGCTGCTTCTTTGAGATTAAGGGAGAGATGGTCTCCGTTCACCATGGGATCCTCATGGTGCAAGTCCCTGACTGTGGGAGGCAAGTTGAGGGGGCAGGTGGGGAGATCTAGAGCGCTGTGGCTTGTTCTAGACGTCACATGATACTCAAAACCGTGGAGTTGGTGCTCTCTGGTAGTGAGTTCCCTGTCACTGAAGATATTCAAGCAGAGGCTGGATATATATATCTGTCAGAGTTACCATGGAGGAGATTCCTGCTGTGAGCGGGAATTTGGGTCCTTCTATGGTAGGTGACCTATAATTACTAAGATAAATGGAAAATGCTCTCCAAAGCGTTGCTTCATGCACTGTGTCAGTGTTGAGTGTGGGGTGGATGCAGACAGAGGCCTGCATTGTCAGGGTCCCACTTGGTTTCCCCAGCGCCTTGAGGAACTGTTTCAGGCATGGATTAATCTAGCAAGTCACTTGCCAAATGAAGGATCAAACTATAGGAACCATGTGAAGGTGGGGACCCTTAGGCTGAGGACTCTGGCAGCTTTTATGTATGTACTAGCATGTATGTATGTATGCATGTATTCATGTATGTATTCATGCATGCAGGAACACAGTCCCCCACTACTGCAAAGTATGCAGTGGAGTTTCCCACATTAGGGGAAATCGCAGGAGGCAGCACGTCCATAGTGCAGTGGATCAGCCTGCCCCGGGCAAACGATCTTCGTGGTCACGGTAGCTCTCCTGCCAGGTAAGTGTGGCAGCTTCTGTTTATTACTGAGCTGGGGCAGGGGAGGCTTTTGCCCTGGAAGGTGGTGTGGTGGTGGTGGCTGATGTGGGATGAAACCAGTGTGGAGATTTCATAGGCTAAGTGAGGTCTGTTTAAGAATTTATGACTTGTGTCCTGCCTGGTGTTCCCAGTGGTTAGAGAATCGGCTTGCACACCAAAGGGCCGTGGATTTGATTCCTGGTCAAGGGTTGCAGGTTTGATCCTCGGTCCCAGTTGGGGCACATGTGGGGAGGCAACCAATTAATGTCTCTCTCATGTTGATGTTTCTCTCTGTCTCTCCCCCTCCCTTCCACGCTCTAAACCCAATGGCGAAAATTTCCTCAGGTGAGGATTAACAAAAATAAAAATATAAAAAAGTATTTATGATCTGAGGGTTTATCTTTAGTTGTGTCTACCCTCATTTTTTTAAAAAAATGTATTTTATTGATTTTTTACAGAGAGGAAGGGAGAGAGATAGAGAGTTAGAAACATCGATGAGAGAGAAACATCGATCAGCTGCCTCCTGCACATCTCCCACTGGGCATGTGCCCGCAACCCAGGTACATGCCCTTGACCGGAATCGAACCTGGGACCCTTCAGTCCACAGGCTGACGCTCTATCCACTGAGCCAAACCGGTTTCGGCTACCCTCATTTTTAATCTCTCTTATTTTCCTAACAGTCTTTGTTTATTCATTTAAAAATTATTATAAAAATACATATATATATAACATAAAATTTACCATTTTAGCAAATTTTAATGTACAATTCAGTGTCATTAAGTATATTCACAGTGTTGTGCAACCATCACCACTTACATTCATCTTCAGAACTTTTTCATCATTCTTAGTAGAAACTCTACCCACTATACAATAACTCCTGTGACCCTTGCCCTCCAGCCCCTGGCAACCACCGTTCTACTTTGTGTCTCTCTGAGTTTGCTTATTCTAGGTACTTAATACAAATCACATAATATTTATCTATTATAGGCTGAGTTGTGTCTCCCCCAAATCCTTATGTTGAAGTCCTAATCCCCAGTACCTCGGAATGTGCCTGTGCTTGGAGATAGGGTCTTCACAGAGGTACTTAAGATAAAATGAGCTCATATGTATGGGTCCTAATCTGATAGGACTGGTATCCATATAAGAAGAGGAGATTAGGACACATAATACAGACAGAGATAAACATGTCCAGATATAGTGAGAAGGTGGCCATCTGCAAGCCAAGGAGAGCTGCTCTCCTCAGGAAAAAATAAATCTGTCCACACCTTGATCTTGGACTCCCAGCCTTCAGAGCTGTGAGAAGATAAATTTCTGCTGTTTAAGCCCGCCAATCTGTGGTGTTTTGTTATGGCAGCTCGAGCCAGCTAATACCTTGTCCTTTCATAACTGGCTTTTTTTTTTTTCACTTAGCATAATATTTTCAAGGTTCATCCATCTTGTAGCATGTACTAAATTTTCTTTTTTTATTTTTTAAAGATGATCATTTTTAAAAAACATTTTTTATTGATTTCAGAGAGGAAGGGAGAGGGAGAGAGAGAGATAGAAACTTCAATGATGAGAGAGAATCATTGATCGGCTGCCTCCTACATGCCCCACATTGGGGATCAAGCCCACAACCCGGGCATATGCCCTGACTGGGAATCAAACCGTGACCTCCTGGTTCATACATCAATGCTCAACCAATGAGCCACGCCGGCTAGGCAAAAATCATTTTTTTTTAAATGGCGGAATGATACGCCACTGCATGGGTAGACCACATTCAGTTTATCCATTCACTTGCAGGTAGACACTTGGGTTCTTTCCACCTTTCCAGTATTGTGAATAATGCTGTATTGACCACGAGTGTACAAGGATCTGTTGGAGCCCAAACAAGGTCTCTTTATTTATTTTTAGAAGTCTATTTAAAAAAAATTGGGAGACCAATGTAACAAACCTAGGCTTATTGAAAATGAAATCAGTAACTCCGACTCTGTAGCCCCATCCTGAGCCAGCACCAAGACCTCTGTTTGCCTGACCCCTGTTCCTCAAGCCCCCAAAAGGACAAGTGTGTGAGGAACCCGGGGTCAACTCAGGCCACTTTCCCACATTGTAACCACCTCCATCCCACCCTCAGTGCACACACACCCCTGGACCAGCAGGCTGGGTTTAGGCCCACGAAGGGAACAGAGAGGTTCTCAGGGTGGCAGGGAATCACAGCTATACCCCAGCCGGCTCAAAATCCCAAGTTAGCAAAGGAAGGCAAAGAGGATACTGGCTGGCACTCCCACTCCTCTCCCCCCAGCCTCCCCAGACAACAGCCTCACATCCTGATCAGTGACACTGTGATTCTGAGGTGCCAGTGGGGCTCCCAGTGGCTTCAACAGCCCCTAGGAGATGATTGCAGAAGGCGTGGGGCCCGGGGGGGGGGGGGGAGGGCGGGGGGGAGGGGGCGTGGCGCCAGCATTTGTCCTGCCACCTGCTCAGTATTAGCCAGATGAGCTGCTCCTCCCAGCTTGTGCCTGGGATGCGTGTGACCCCTCTCCCCTCTGGAACATCCATGGCCGGGAACCAGCACTCTTGCCAGAGAGAAAGCATATGTTTATACATTGAATTGTATAGGAATGTTCATAGCAGCTGATTGGTAATAGCTGAAACTGGAAAACAACTTAAATGTCTCTCAACAGTTGAATTGATAACAGTTTGTGGTACTGTAAGCCCTCAGTTACCATTGTCAATAGGTTCTGTGATTTTAAGCGAAATGACATAATGAAACCAGTTTTACCATAGGCTGTGTGTGTGTGTGTGAACACTGACTGGCTATTTTATAATATTAAGAAAGTAATTGGGGGGAGGGTAAGAGATCAACCAAAGGACTCGTATGCATGCATATGAACATAACCAGTGGACACAGACAGTAGGGGGGTGAGGGCATGTGCTGGGGGGTGGGAGCGGCTGGAAGAGGTCAGTGGGGGAAAAAAGAGACTCATGTAATACTTTTTAATTTTTATTGACTTCAGAGAGGAAGGAGAGAGCTAGAAACATCAGTGATAAGAAGGAGTCATTGATTGGCTGCCTCCTGCATGCCCCCGACTGGGGATCGAGCCCCCAACCTGGTATGTGCCCTTGACCGGAATCAAACCGGGGACCCTTCAGTCCATAGGCCGACACTCTATCCACTGAGCCAAACCAGCTAGGGCTGTAATACTTTAAACCAGTGGTCGCCAACCTTTTGGACCTCACGGACCACCAGTGGTCCGTGGACCATTGGTTGACGACTGCTGCTTTAAATAATAAAGAATTTAAATTAAAAAAAGTAAAAAAAAAAAAAAAAAAAAAGAAGAAGAAACTGAGAGGCCCCAGCCCATGGCAGGGAGCAGGCTAGAAACCGTGGGCAGCATTTTTCTTTCGGACTCGGGACTTATTTGGGCTGGGATATCGAAGGAGAAGCCCTCTGGTTTGACATGTGTAATGCTTTTCCCCCCGCTGAGGGTGCCAGCTGGAGGCCCTGCTTGAGGTATGGCAAAGCCAAAGCTCCCACCCCAGGACACCCTCCACCACTCGGATCGGATTAGAGTACCATAGGCTAATTGACACAAACAAGAGTTAAGTTCCTATGGCACCTCATCAACATTATAGGAGAACAACGTTGAACAAAACGACATTATTTGCGGGTGTGCCGTATAGCCACACCATGGAATACGACTCAGAACAAAAGGGAATGCACGATTAATATATGCTACAACATGAGCAAAGCTCAAAATAATTTTGCTGAGTGAAAGAAGTCAGATGAAAAGGAATCGTATGGGCATGATTCCATTTATATAAAAATCCAGGAAATGCAGACTAAGGGCAGTGACTGCAGATCGGTGGTTGCCTGGGGAGGGATAGAGGGAGGGACTGTGAAGGGACAAAAGGAAAATTGGAGAGTGAGGAATCCGTTCGTTATTTTGATCGTATCCAATTAGACGTCATTAAAGCTGTTTTAGAGGAAAAGCACACAGTAGATACCTAATCGATTCTTGTTCCTTTCCAAGGTGCTGACTGCTACCCTCACAGTGACACCCTCCCCCAGACAGACGAGCCAGTGTCTGCTTTCCCTCGGCTTTATGGAACTGGCTCTCTGGGGCGGTCACATGCCCTTAGGAAAATTGCATCAAACAGCATTCGAGGAGGCGACAAAAGGCTTGGAACCCCTGCGCCACTGGAAATGGATCTCTGTACCTCCACCCTCTGACTTACATCACATCGTCAGATGTGTCTCTTAGCTCCATCGGCATTCTGCCTCTTCCAGAGGTCTGGGAAGGTTAAACTCCGAGCCATTGACCTCAAAGGTCGGACATAGAGGGCTTTTCTTAACTATTAGGGCTTTCTTCTCCTGACCTTTGGGGAGGGGCTGAAATGTATGTCTGTGGTTCTCAAATAGGGTTCTTGTTGCTTGGCCGTAAAAACTCCTTCGTTCAGAAAAACTGAGACATGTCAAGGTCATTGACTTGCTTCAGACTTTGGATCAAGTTAGTGCAAATACTGGGAAGACTCAGGTCTCAGACCTAACTCGAGGGCCGTCCCACTTTCCCCCCCACCCCGCTGCTACCCCCGCCTGTGACCCACATCATATGACCTCAGGGCTGCTGAGGGAGAGACAAGGCCCTGCCTGCTGGGGCCTGGCAGTTGGCACAGCAGCGGCAGAGCAGGCTCCTGTCAGCCTCGCAGGGTCGGTGCTGCTTCCCCATCACGCCCGCCCAGTTGCCCTAGTGACTGTGTGACCCTTCTCCCCCGCCCTCGCTGCCACCAGCCCTATAAATAGAGGCAACGAGCAGCTGGGCTCTCTTGGCAGTCACCATGAGGGCGCTGGTTCTGCTCTGCTGCTTTGTGGCGTCTCTCCTGCTCCCAGGACAAGCAGGTATGACCCCACCCCCGTGGGCCAGGCCAGACTTCAGCTCTGTGCTGTGGGGGGCTTGGGCAGTAGTTGGAGAACGAGGCCTCCGTGATTCCTGGGGCTGATGGCTGGTCT